TGCAAAAAATGCAACACACTGGAATTGAACTTGTATTGCTGATTTAACTTTCAATGATGATATCTGTTATTCTATCCTGTATGTACATGGAAGAACCAATAGCAGGAATAGAATTAATTTTCCACCAATGAGAAGTGAATTTATTTATTTGAATTTCTCACCAATGAGGAGTGAATTTATTCTCTCAAGCTTATTTTACATATTTTAACATTTTTTTCACACTTTACAAAGCCCAGTGACCATACAAGGTAGAGGGTTATGTTAGGAAGCAATTTGTATGTATAGGAGTAGAAAACAGTTAACCCTAGCCCTGAACAGATTAAGATTGTAGTGATTGGGGAAACATCCTATTGGGAGTCAGTTCCACAGAGCAGTGGTTCATAGGAAGATGCTGTTTGGGTGAAACTTACTTCCCACCCATGAAATACAGTGGGAATGTGGGTGGTTTGCCATTATGTAAATAGCATGGCATGCCCTTGCTATGAAGGTTTGAATTGCCAGGAACAGGGAATGTAGTCTGAGCACTTTCTGTGGAAGTAGTGATAAAGCAGCAAAAGGCTTGTGGGAGAGAGGTTGGAGGGTGGAGAATAATTTGTCACCCACAATGGCTTGGAGATGCTTTTAGACTCTATCAATGCTGGAGAGTGGGGACTGGGCATCTTCTGCCCAAATATGACAACAGTACACCATTTTTGGCTTGATCTGGCTCTTGTAAAGGTACTTACGGGAGCAGTACAGGGAGCTGACCATTTTAAATTCATATCTGTTGCCTATTCTTTAATGTCAGTATCTTTTACATTCAATTTTAAAATTTAATCAAATTTCCCCCCATTTTAACCTGCCTCTATTTGTGTATGTCACTATTCAAGTATATTTTCTGCAAGCAGAGAGACATACATATTAGCTGGGATACATGTTGATCTGCTTCTGAGATATAGTGCAGCTTGAAGAGAAATGAATCTCAAGGAAAGTTCTGAAAATTTTTCTAAGGGGGAAAATCTTGTCCAGCTTTGAAAATTAGCATTTGAAATCTTGACTTTTATTCAGGCTTAAACTTATAAGTGAAAAACATGTTGGTATCACACTTCTAATGCAGGTCTATGAATTTGTTTCTGTGTTATATGTATATATCTTTGTTTCAAATGTTGAAACTTAAATGTATAGTACAACTCAGCTCTTTCTCTCTGATGTCCTTCTATCTATCTATCTATCTATCTATCTATCTATCTATCTATCTATATATATATATATATATATATATAGATGCAGCGAAACAGTCCGTGGATGACTATATATATATATATATATATATATATATATATATATATATATATACACATGTGTAAAAATGTTGTAAATATGATACACATGGAAGAAAATAAATTTTTTATTTATCAGAATAATTTTATGAAAATCTATGACAGAGTGGGAAATATTGTTCATGTATGGTGTTTAGTCCTTTAAGACTTCGTTGGACTAAAGTGATGCCTACATTAATGTGATTAAACTGGTGTATGAAAGAGAAAGGATGCTGAATGTCTAAGTTTAAATTAAAAAAAAATTTGTTTTGTTTCTTTTCCTTCTTGTTTACATTTTTATCACTTTTGTTATTAAATATCCCACATTCTGATAATAGAAGATCTGCCAAGAAAGGCGAAATGTTGTAAGAACCTAGATATAAATTTACTGTGGATGATGTAGCAATTAAAGCATTTTCTATACATTTTCTTCTTAGTAAATTGCTTTCTCTTTTAATTAAAATAGCATATTTTTAAATCAAAATTATGGTCTGACTCATTACAATGAGGCAACTAATGCATTGAGTGTGTTGCTTTGCAAAAGATCCCTTTTGTGTTCATATAATCTTTTATTTAAATTCCCTGAGGTTTCACCAATGTATTCCTTGTGACAATTATTACAATTATTTTTTTCCACTTTGTCATAGATTTTCATAAATATATATATATGAGTGTGTATGTAATTATATTAAATCCCTCATTTATATATATATATATATATATATATATATATATATATATATATATATATATATATATATATCTTCTTTCATCAAGTGATTAGTAGGTTAATGCATCTTTAAAATTTTGTTAGCAAAAGGGATTTCACCATTTTATATCATTAACTTTACTAATTTACTTTTTGTATGAATGATTCATTGCAATATAAATTGAATTGCACCACATATTTGATTTATAAGAACTGATACAACATTCAAATATTCAGGATAACAACTGAGACATTACTCTACTTATATATATATCTACATCATCTTTGTCATGTTGTATTGATAATGTTATAATTTATGAATATGTCCTGAAGATGGTTTATTAGACCGAAACATCCGACGTTGACATATTAATATTAAAACAGTATAAATTGTATATAAGGATTTTTGTTTGTTTTTTCCATATATATTTTTCTTCATATATATATATATATATATATATATATATTGTGTATTTAGGCAGCATTTTTTAATTCATACATGTTTCATTAAATAATATAGACAAGTGTTGTCTATTTATTTTATTTTATGTAAATTCTTTTCATAACGTCTGATAAGCTTAATAACATTATCATTAAATGAAGAAAGAAAATTACAATATTGATACATATTTTTTAATTCAATCTAAGCTTTTGGCTTACATAAGCCATTATCAAAGATGACAATTACAGTACAATATATTAAGCATTACACGGACAAGAATGTGATGATAGTCTGTTTCTGTTTACATGGATGATTTCCAAACAACGATAAACACATGCTTATAAGACAGTGGATATATATATATATATATATATATATAGATATATATATATATATATATATATATATATATATATATATATATATATATATATATATATATATATATAAGAGAGAGAACATGGGGGCTGATATTTTTTCATGCCTCAACACTGTCTTGAACTTAGTCTGAAGATTGTACTGAGGCAGTTATCATGGAGTGTTGATCCTTATGTCTACACTGTCCTTATTTATAAACACTTTATCACCAATATTGATCTGTCTTCCCCTATATATCTAGAAAAATTTTAAATAATATAGTACATTTGAATATTTAATATATTTCAAATATCTCAAGATATATCATAAAATTAATGTTTTAAACTTTTTAAGGAGAAAAAGATGAAATTATAGTGTGCATATTTTTCTTTCGTCAGATTTCTTCAATATTCAGGCCAGTAAAAAATAATAAATATATTGCTTAAAAATATGAATATCCACTAAAAATAATGTTTAAGTGATGAAATCTGTTGGATTAATAAAAAAAAAAATCCATTACTTCTTTAAAAATTGCTTTGGTTACATTTAGATATGAATTTTCAAAAGTCTATGACAAGAAGGATTTCACTTAAAGCACTGTTCAGCCTTGCTTGATCGGCAATGTCCTTCATGGCTGAGTTGTTATAAGCACATTGGATCTAACAATAGTATCTTCTGCCAATGCAGATACAGGTTCAAATCCTGTCAGAGGGTGCATATTTTTCTTTAATAAGATTCTTGAATATTCAGGCTAGCAGATGATAATAAATATACTGTTTAAAAATAAAAACGGAGTGTCTACTCAAATATGGGTATCCACTAAAAATAACGTTTAAGTGATAAAATATATATTTATCTATATGGTAATGGTAATATTAGCCATTTCCCTACAAGGAAACATTTGACATTCATTGATCAAGCAGCCAGTTCTGTTTTCAGTCAACAGAAAACAAAACTGGCTGATTTATGTACCTTATAATTTATAAAATCTTTCTCTCAAAACTCTTTTTTTTAGGAAAACAGATTTCTCAAGTTCAGTAGCTGTTATTGCTTTTCCTAATATTGATGAATGTTTCCTTTGAAACCTTCTATTAGATGTCATGTGGAATGATAATATCTTGATTATGTCATTATTTTCTATTTGAGTTACATGTGATATCCATTTTAGTTGTGGCTGACATTTGTAGTGATCAAGTGATGTGGTTTTTGTTATTTGGTACAGTTCTTTGCTTGTGATTCTGTAGCACCAGTCCATAGTGTTCAAAGAAGGATGATCTTTGCCATGACCCTCAGGCTTTACTAACTCAAAGCCTTTTTTTTTCACTATTGATCTTCGGAAGTGTTTGCATGCTGCTGACAGTTTAGATATTTTTTTATAATGACAAGGCTAAGAACATGGCATGAGTTTGATGTTTTGGTTTCAAATTTGCAGTGTTGGGAAAAACTACCTCTGACACAAACACTATATATATATATATATATATATATATATATATATATATATATATATATATGGACACATGGCTGAGTGGTTAGAACATCTGATTTCTGACCATGAGGAGGTCCAGGTTTGAATCTCACCATGGTCGATTTTTCAGGAAGATGACTTATTGATGTTATCGGTCTGGAGGAGGCAATCCCAACATGCGGCTCCTTTGGAAAGTATCTGAAAACCATACCACAGGTTGATCCAAGCCTTGTGAGCGAAAAATGGTTAGATGATACCCTTCAGAGTCATCGATAGTTGTGCTAGCACAAAGTCACAAGTCAACATGAGAGAGGGTTTGAGAGTGCTGTCCTTGTTCAGACTGTTGATCACATGAGATAATGTGCTCCCTACCAGAAGTCTGCACAGTATAGTTGCAGTATAAACCACAGATAGGTTCTGGGTGTTGAACAAACACAAATGTGCCTGAGAAGGCGTCTGCAATCAGGATTGGCTAACTGCCCTAGTAGTCTGGCATCCTCAGATATGAGTGGCTGTGTCATTTAGATATATATATATATATATATATATATATATATATATATATATATATATATATATATATATATAATATGAAGGTGCACTTATATTTTTAAATTGTTTAGGACAATGTATGCAAGCATGCATATGTCTATATGAATCTTGTTTACATTGAAAATCCTTCAAGTTTTCATTGTAATTATATCTCTTGGAGTAAAATATCTTCTTGTCTTTCTAATTGTAGTGCATAGTTTTTTTCTCCATAATGACAATTCATTTTCTGCATTTCTGATATCAATTCTATATTACCACATTTACCCATGAATGCACAAATTTGAGTATAACTTCTGGAAAACAAATAATCCCAGTTATCCGTCTTGAAAATCAATATCTTGTAAGTCTATTCATGAATGTATAATTTTGAATACAAATTATGGAATTTGCAAAAATCCAAGACTTCAGTTAATCCCTTCTAGAAATCAATATCGCTATATGTCTGCCAGAGAATGTACAATTTTGTTGGTATTATCTTGCTCAAGAATCAATAGCTAAACCAGTTATATTAAAAATACACACACACATACACACACACACATATCTATCTATCTATCTATCTATCTATCTATCTATCTATCTCTATCTATATATATATATATATATATACATACATATATATATATATATATATATATATATATATATACATACATATATATATATACATATCTATATATATACATATATATATATATATATATATAGTGTAATTATATATCTGTGTATGTATTTTTTTACATACATACTTGTGAATTTTATTTTCGTGATATCTATGTCTTATTCCCATTGCCCTGTCTTTGTTTCCGCACTACTTTACTTACCTCCCAACCCGCTATCTGTAATCTGTTCCTTTTTAAAAGCATTATTATCAATGTTGAAAATTTTATATTAAGAATGAAAATATGCGACAAAGAAGAGAAAAAAGACAAAACCAAAAGAAAGAAAACAAGTGAAGAATAATGCAAAAAGGAAAAGCATTTTCTCTTTGCCCCTCACTTTCTCCTATTCTAAGACGTCAAATTATCAGGTATTGAAAAATGCATCAATATTTAGTTTATCTTTAGAAACAATCTCCCTTTATTCTTTTCTTCTCTTTCTTTTATATATATATATATATATATATGTTTTGTTTCTCTGATAAATATCCTGTTATTTCCAATGCTTTTCTCCATTTCCTTTTTTCTCTCTCCTTTTTGTAATTAGCTTTCCTTATTTTTTTTCAGGCTCCTTTTCTCTTTTTTTTCTCAATTTCTCTTCTGTTTACATTTTGTCTTTTTCAATCTTGGTCTTTGTGCTTTCTTTCTCTTGGTTTATTTTAAGTGTTTCTTTTTTCCTCACAACCTCTGCCTTTCTACCTTTATCATTTCATTCTCTTTTCTTATCATTTCTTTCTTTCTGTTCTTCTTGGTCCATACTTCTCTTGAGCACAGTCTGTTTTTTTTTTCTTTTTCTTTTATCACACCATGCATCCATTTTCACTATTTTCCATTTCTCATATAATTTCTTTCTTCTTTATGTTTTCTCATTCTGCTGCTCTCTCATTCTCTATCTTTCCCTATTGATTTCTCTTTTAGACTCTTGTTTTCTCTTCCTTTTTTCTTTTTTATCTTCATTATCCACTCTTTCAAGATTCTTTCTTTCTTTATTTATTTATTTATTCATTTCTCATTTTTCTTTTTCCTCTCTTTCGTTTTTTCTTGTTTTCTTTATTTATTCATTTATATATTTCTCATTTTTATGTCTTCTTCTTTTCCTTTCTCTTTCTTTCTCTCGTCTTTCTTTATCTCTGTTTGCTTTTCTTTCTTTCTTTCTTTCTCTCTTGCTTTCTTTATTTCTCATTTTTCTTTCTTTTCGTTTTCTTTTACTTTCTCCCTTTCTCGTTATGTCTAGCTTTCTTTCTTTCTTTGCCTTAATCCTCACCATTTCTCTTTTCTTCTTTTCCCCCATCCTTTCTCCATCCTTACACCATCTCTCTTTGTTTCTTAACCCACATCATATCCAGATGTCAATTTCAAAAATAACTCTGACAATAGAAATCCTATTCACATTCAGGAACCTAGATCTGGTCTCTGATTATAATAATGTGTCATTTTCTTGGCTCCTGTTTCGGCTTACAGCACGAGGGTGGGGGAGTAAGAAGGGTTTGGTGAAAGGGGACTAGTATTAAGATACAGAGTGGGTAAGAACTCGGTTGGGGAGAGGGACAGCCTAAGCAGGAAAGGGAGTGGGGTACTTCAGGGGAGGGTGTTCATTTATTGATGAACAATTTAGAGTACAACTTACAGGATATGTAAAACTGAGATTATATTCGCTGGGAAATCAATAACCTTGTGTGCTGATCATTGATTTTGCTTTCTCTCTCTATCATTTTTATTTTTTATTTTTTTTATTTTTCAGAAAAGGGCCAACAATATTTAAAGAAGAATTACTATACATTTTCTTTTTTTATCACTTCTTCACAATCATTTATAATTTTGCTTGTTTCTTTTTCATAACTTTTGGTTTCTTCTCTTTCAACTTCTTTCAAGATTTCCTTCTTCATATTTTTCCCAATATTTTTCTTCATTTTCTCATTCTTTTTTCTCTCTCTCTCTCCCTTTTACTATATCTCTCTCTTCATCTTTTTTTTTACCGTTTTGCATTTTTTTTTAGTTCACTAAGGAAAAGATAAAAATACATAAAAGAAAGCGCTAAAATTAACCATTGCTAGAATTTTAAAGAAAAAGCAAAGAATTAATATATTTATTGAACGGCATTGCATGATATCAAATTCCAACATTGCTTGTTGTTCATCAGGATATGTTACAAAAGGTGACTCATATAGATATCACTGTACCAGTAAATTATATTTGGCTGCAACACTTTTTTTAGCTCTTCTCATTATTGAATTTTGTTATCAAACACAATTGTTTAAGAATCTTTTTATTGAACTTTCTTTTAAAAAAATGTCCCTGTTGTTTTTGAAAAGTAAAATTGTCACCATAGACTGTTCAAGTTTTAACAAACTATTTTCAGTATTCAAACAAAGAATTAGGATTAATTGCTATCCTTAGCTAAAGGAAAAACTAAGTTTTTTATATAATAGAATTTACAATACAAGACTAGAAAAGGTAGAAAGTTACTGTTAAAAAAGTAATGAATGAATGAGTTGTGTGATATGAAAGAAAGTGAAGATGATAGAAAGTCAAGATTATAAGGCTAATAACAACTTTGATTTGATGAGTTTGATGGTAGCATTTAGGGAAACACCAACATGGGAGTCTGTTCAACACAATGTTGCATATATGAAAAAAAGGCTGCAGATTGTAAACAGTTTTGAACTCTGTCAAGGATGAAAAGTGAAGATTGAGTAACTCATGGCCAGATATGGCAGCAATGCTCCATTTTTAGTCTAATCTTCTTTTTCTATGTGCAGTGACTCTTGAAGATGTTGGTGATCATGGCTCTTCACAACTTCCTTTTTTTTTATAGCTCTGTATGGCTAAGATTAAAATATATTTTCCGTAAATTTTCATTTGTTTTCCACAGTAAATATAAACCCATATATGTAAATATTTTTGCTATGGGCACAAAATTTTTTACTCTTTTTTAAAATTTCTTTTTGAATTTTGAGGATGAGAAGTTATCATTATTTAAAATATTTTTAGTTTGACTATGCATTCATTAATGCTTAGTATGTCTTGTGCAAAGTAGACCTTGTAGAGTCCATCCCAGACACCATCAAACAAGAAACAGAACCATTGGAAGACCTTATAAGCACCATCATGAAGAGAAAATTGAAATGGTATGGAGATATCATATGATCCAACAATATTTCCACTGCCATAATACAAGGTAACTCCTTAGGCAAAAGAAGAAGAAAATGGACTGACAATGACACTGAAAAGACCAGAGAGATCATTCAGAGAACATTTGTCTATATTTCAGATGAGGTATTGTAACTATTTATACTATTTACATCATTCAGTGATACCCTCATCTTTATTGCCATATTCACAACATTTTGGACATTGTAAATTCTGTCTGTCTTCTTATGTTGGACTTTTGAACCAAACCCCTTATTTAGTCCACGGCAGTAGATTGTTCTAATTCTAATTCCATGTTTCATGCCTTTTTTGTATATCTCAGTTTCAGTTAATTTCCTTCAGTAATTCAACACTCCAACTTTTTGTTCACCTCTGCTGTGACTAGGTACTGAACTCACAACTCTTTGGGTCAAGTCACTTTTTGGATCACTCAACCAATGCTTTTATCCACAGAGACTTAGACATTAGCATACATATAAAGGGAGCTGGCCAGGTGCAAACTGCACAGAAAACATATGACCACACCCAGCCATAGGGATCATGATAATGATGATGATGATGATAATTTTCGACAAATGCCATTATTATTATTATAGTGGCTATCAAAATGTTTCAGCCATTGTGTAATCTTGCCTTCTTTAGATATCTGCCAATTCAGGTAACTTTCAGGTAATTTTGAACTGATCTCTTTATTTAATTTATGAGAGTGGACTGATCTTTGTTAGAAAAGAACAAGCTGAGGTATATTTAAACATTGACAGCAGAACAAGAACAATCTACATTCATACATATATTTGAAAAAACTATGAAACTGATAGAAAAAGACAAAAAATCTTTGATAATGGCTTATGAAAACTGAAAGTACTCAGAAAATGGGCAGTTTATATTTAAACTTTTGCTGGAAAAATGATCTAAAATATAGAAAAAATAGACAAAAACTTCTAAACAAAGTACACTAAAACTTTGAATTAACAGTCCTGGAACCAACAGATTCTGCATTTAACTTTAAAACTTTTCAAACATTTTTTAAAGGTATATAGTAACTTAAAAATAAAATATATATACATATATATTGTATTTACATTTATTTACCTTATTTTTATACTGTACTGGGTGTTTTTAGGCCACAAAATATGCTTCAAAGTAACAGACAAACGACACTCCCCACTACTAGTCTGTTAAATTGAGATTCCACTGTATTTTCATCAGTCTTTAACCAAACTCTTATGAATGAAAAAATTGCTGTCCATATGTTAGTCTAAAGCTTGGTCTGCACAATATGAATTTTGGCCATTTTTATACATAAACAAAAGACACAATTGTGAAGTTTTATTTGTATACTAGAAAAAAAATTATCAACAAATTTAATAGACATAAAATGTCTATTCTTTTCATTAAGACATGTTTTAAAAAACAATTGCTTCCAAAATATACTATGTGTGCCTGTCCATGTGAATTTAAGAAAGAGATAGTGATATAATGGGAGGTTGTTATGGAAGAAAGGTTTATTCTCTCATTTGTATCTTCCCCCATTATGGGCATTATTATATCTGTACTTCACAGATGAAATGGAATGGCTGAAAGGAAAAGGAATTAGAAACATGCTTTAATCTCAAAAAGACAGTTATGCCACTAAGATAGATACAAATTTATATATACATACATACACATGTCCCATGTGGAAAGTAATATATCATATATATGTACATGGCAAAGCAGAATGTAAGGAGAAACAAAAAGGAAGGGTCTTACATATAATATGGAGATACTCCTGTGTCTGGAGAAGCCATGTTTAACACTTCAGATTCAGATGAGACGGAATCATCTACTATGTCCCAGGTGAGGACATATTCCGTAAATGGGAAACAGCAAATCTTGGGTTTTCCCAAATTGAGAACTGTGGGCTGGAGTTTCTTTCTATAGCTGGGAAAGAGATATACTCACATGGACATGGCACCATGGACTTCTAAGCTGCTGGGGAGGTAGATTTAGCCTCTGCCTGGGCCATGGTTTGGCAGCAGTAGACAAACTGAAATTGACACCCATTTTCATTGCTCTATTGAGTGATGTCATTAAGCAGTCTGGCGCATGACCCATGTGATGTATCGTCACCAAAGGAAGATAATTACCTTCTTTATCCTTACAAAGATATAGATATACATATAATCCATTACTTTAATTTTGAGGAATTTGATCATAAAAATATGTTACTTAACCAAACACTTACTTTACTCAATCACCTTAAAATCATCCCCTTGGTAATGTATACAGTGATTTCACAAAGGTAATAAACTATTAAACAGCATTCAAAAATGAAAACACTTATCCTTCACCACAGGAGATGATATCCTTCACCACAGGAGATGATATTTTAATAAAAAATTGTATAGAATATTTAATATATTTTCATAATAATAATAATAATAACAACAACAATAATTATGCAATAGCTGGCCACTTGTATCAAAGTATGCCTGGCTATTAGGGCAGCTGGTCAATCCATGTTGAAGATGCCTGCTCAGGCACATTTGTGTTTGTTCAACACCCACAGAGGCTACATGTGCTTTTATACTGCAACTATGCTGAGCGGACCTTAGTTACAGTATCTGGGAGATAGTGTATTATCTGGTGGGATTAACAGTCTGCACAAGGCTCATACTCTCAAACTCTTGGTCATGATGACTTGTAACTCCATGCTAAAACAACTGTCAATAGCTCCCAGATATGTCTGTCTATCCACTTTCAAAGCTTGGGTTAACCCATTGTTTGGTTTTCAAGCACTTTCCAAAGGTGTCACATGCTAGGATCACCTCCTCAGGCTAATAACATCAAACAGCCACCTTCCTAACAAATTGACCATGGTGAGATTCGAACCCAGCTCTCAAGGTCATATATGCCCATATAATAATAATAATAATAATAATAATAATAATAATAATATAATAATGATATGTATAAATATTTTATATATTCATGCAAGCTAGTTCTATATAGCCCTTTTACACATGATGTCATTTTGGATTAATTTGAATTTCAGCATTCAAAAAGAAAATGAATGTAGCCAATAAAATCATGTCTGGCAGATGAATACCATCCAGCTCCTGCTAATGAGTGAAATAGTCTGAAGTAGTTGAGAACAGGAACAAAATAGGAACATTGGAAAGTTTATCCACAATTTTGATTTGGACATACAACAACTTATTCAAAGGTACCAATGAAGAGTGTCATTAGAATTACTACTATGAAAATATTTATAGAAAAGATAGAGGGAAGTCATGTCAGTGGGGAAGTGACTGAAGTCAAGATTCTAAGTCATGATCAATAACATTACAGTGCCTTTTTTGGATTTTTTCAAGAATCTTGAGATATATAGCCAGAGCAACAGACCAGACTTGGCAGCAATATTCAGTGCAGGGATGAATGGTAGATTTATAAATGTTCAAGATGGATTCTACCAAGAAAAATTGAAAACAATGAAGTAATCTTCTTAGCAGCAGACCTTGCTATGAATTCAAAATTTAAAATTTGTAGAAAGCTTATTCAATTTTTACTAAATACAAAGCACTGGAATATAAGTATTGTATTTAATTGTATATAATGATAATGAATCCCTTACCCCCATATAGACTTGGGGTACCACACATGTCTAAGACAAGTTTATCCCTCTTCAGAGTGATTTTGAATTCAGAGTTGTCCACCTGCAACACTGAGTGACCTATCATTGTTATAGAGCCCAGTCTGCCCTGCTATTTGGCCCATAGATGTAGGAAGATGAGTTGATGCCTTTTCTAAGGGTATTAGTGTGAAGTGAACGAAAGAGGCTCAGTCAGAATTTGAACTTTGTATGCAAGTTTCCGCTGTTCAT